CTCCTGCCCTCTGCGCTCCTCCTCCACACTCTCAGCCCCCCCTCACCCCTGCCCCTCAGGACCTGAGCCTGTACAAAATGGCTGCCACCCCTCTGAGGCAGCCATTTTAGGTGCCCAGGCTGTGGCCTCCCTTGGGATGGGGCTATGTCTCCATGGGAACCTCCAGCCCCAGCTCTCTGCTTCCTCCTGAGGAGTGGGCAGCAGAAATGGGGGTCTTCCAGGCCTGGCTGAGGTACCCACCATTCTCCTTTTCCTCTCTGAGACCTAGAGGGGACCAGGCCCCTCACCAACTCCCTTCCCCCAATGCCACAGGGAGGAACAGATGGCATCTCTGGGTGTCCTTCTCCTTTCGTCTCCTTCCTTCCATTTCTGGCTCTTTCTGTCTCTCCGTCACTGCATCTCGACATCTCTGGGTGTTCAGAGAGGAGTGTGCATGTCCCTGTGTGTTCATGCTTGCTCGTGTGTATGTGGACACACGTGTTGTACCTCTTTCAAGCCCATGTCTAGGCAGGCCCATCCCACACCTCCCTCTGTTCCAATTTTCCCCTGGTTTTTATTGTATCTTCTAAAAAAAAAGTTGAAATGTGTCGAGTGAGAAAAACTTGTTCCATTTTTCTGGAGGAAGAAAAGACAGGGGCAGGAACAGGCCAAAAGAGATGAAGTTCCTCATAGCCTCAGGCATGGCCCTCCCACCTCAGGCCTCTTCCTGTGGGTCTTCTCAGACTTGGGGAGCTGAGGTCATTCCTGACAGAAAACAGGCAGAATGGGACAACTTCCTAAGGGCTCCCCTATACTGAGCAAGGTCCTGCCTCCTGCCTTCAGGAACCTATGAGACCCCTGGTGAGATAACCCAACCCTCAGTGTCCAAAGGAGAAGGTGGAGGATATCTCTCATCCCCAAGGAAGTATTTGTTTGTTTATTAATCCATGTACTCACCTATTAATTTCACAAAGGTTCAGTTTCTATATAGACAAAGAATACTGAATGTGCATGGGGGAGTATTGCAAGAAATTAATATTGTAAAGCATGTTAGTTTATAAAGTGTCTTAATAAAAATAAGAGCTGGCATTTATTGAAGGCTTATGTTATTGCCAAGCTCATCACACATATTATCCCATTAGAGCTAACAACAGCTCTGTAAGGGTGTATTATTCCCATTTAACAGATAGGGAAATAGGAAGATCAAGGCTGAGAAATGTTATGTAACTTGCTCAAGGCATTCAGGTTTGTTTGTTTGGTATCAGGGATTGAACCCAGGGTCACTTTATCACTAAGCTGTATCCCCAGTCCTTTTTATTTTTTCATTTGAGACAGGGTCTCACTAAGTTGCTGAGGGTCTAAGTTGCTCAGGCTGGCCTCAAATTTGCAATCCTCCTGCCTCAGTCTCCTGAGTCACTGGGATTACAGGCCTGTGCCACTTTGCCCCACATAGTATCCAACGTTTTTAAAAACATTGGTGAACAGGGTTGGCTGGGAATCAGAAACCTTGAGCAAGTGCAGGTAACCAACATACCATCCAGCTAGGGGACTCAGGAAGAAGGTTGTTCGTCAGGATGGATGATAGATACCATGAGGAGACAGTAAACCTTTCAGTCTGTGCCCAAAACTGGAGGCAGCCTGACCAGCCCTCCTGAGTCTCTGCCCCATGCTTTGACCTCTGCCTCTGTCATGAAGCTGCAGACTATCTGCTATAAGCAGGATCCACCTCCCTAGACATAGGACCTCTGAATGGCTTCTCATCCTTGGATACCACAGAAGCAGGTTGTGGGGTCACTGGAAGGGCATTAGACTGGGAGACAAGTACCTGGGTTCTAGACCCAGCCTATTCTACACCTGTGTGTTCTCTCTCTCTCTCTCTCTCTCTCTCTCTCTCTCTCTCTCTTTGCATTTATTTACATTTATTTTAAAATAATCACAAAACCTGTGTTCTCTTAGGCAAGTTTTTTTCCCCTCGGTGACCTCTGCAAAAGGAGGAACTGGGACTGTTTATTCTGGGCTCCTGAACCAGCACCTCTGAGAGCCCAGACAACACCAGCGCCCCATGGCCTTCCTGAGCCTTGTGTCTCTGTGTAGAACTCTGTTCAAATCTGTACAGCATCAAATCCACGGCTTACCAGCCCTACCCCCTGTGGAGGCTCCCATTGGGAGGGAATGCACACCCCTGGATTGAGGGTGAAGCCCTCCTCTTGCTCATCTTTGTGCCACTGCAATGTCTGACACATGGCTGACCTCTGAATTCGTGTGCTGAAACTATAATTGAAGTTGGAGGTGCAGAGGTAGGCTGAGGGTGAGGAGGGGCAGAAAACGCAGTTCAGGAACACAAATGCCTGGCTCAGTGTGGGTACAAAGGTCTTTCTACACCTGACTGTGATTACCTGCTCATAGGCGTGTGTCTGTCTGAGTAGGGGTCTGTATCCATTTTCTGCACCACAGGGTGAGGAACAGGTGTGTGTGTGTGTGTGTGTATACACGCGCACACGCATGTGTGTGTCTAAAGCTACCTCTCAACTTGTGCCATTTGCATCTGCCTCTGGCCCAGTGAGAGGGTTGAAAGGTGAGCCCTAAGATGATACAGCCATTTCAATCTTCCTGATCAAGACACTTGTCTGACCTACCTCCCCTTAGCTGCTCTTGGGACTTCTGGGGTTAGCTCCAGTGTTTTCAGTATTATTATTATTATTATTATTATTATTATTATTATTATTATTATTTTGCAGAGGGAGGAGAATGCTTGAGTTTCATCCAGGAACTCTAGGCAGTTTCCAGCCTGGTCCCCTCCTCCTCCCTCAACCAAGTCAGAAGGCTGAGACAGAAGAAAGTCACTGGTGGGATGGTCACCTATCTGGCAAAGAGAATGATGAGGAGGGAGAGGTTTCTGGGTTAGGAATCCAGATTTAGACCTGATTCCTGCATCCCTAGATGAGGGATTTTCATAGACACACTTCAGGGGTTCTTCCCTGCCCCATCCCAAATATATATGCCCCTGATACCCAAGGAAACATCTCCCATCCGATGACTTCATAGACACACACGCATGAATCCGTAGACACACACACGCCCATGCAGAGGCACAGACATCCAGGCAAATCTTTCCCTTTCTCTGTCTTTCCCTTGGTTTGAATTTCGTTCAGCCACATATGTTGTGTGTGCGTGAGGGTGGGTGGGGGAGGGGCAGACAGGGATGAGGGATGGCATAGTGCCAACATCTACCTATGGGGCTTGGGCCAGGGACACCCCCAACGCCCACTCTTGAAGGGGGCCTCAGCTGTCCCTTTGTGGTGGAGGGGACCCTCCTGGGGAGTAGGGACAAGCACTGAGGTCCCTTCTCCACACCCCAGGGTCTGGTCCTGACCCACCTTGGGGACCTGCAGGGGAGGAAATGGACAGAGCAAGACCCTGGAGGAAGCACAGAATTGGCGGTCACCACAAACGCCCAATTTCCAGGCTTGACCCCCATTGTTCCCATGTGGGGGGCTCCATATCTGAGGGGGGCAACTCCTCCCACCTCCCTCTCAATCCCTGCTTTCCCTGCGTTGGGTGGGGAGGGGAGGGCGGCAGAGATATTTATTTATTTCCTTTATTTATTTAATTTTTTTTTTTTTTTTTTTTGGAGTAGAGAGTGACAGATGGCGGCGGGTCCCGGGGGAGCCGGCTCTCCCCCAATGCAGACGCATGCCAATCACCGTCTCTCATGTGATAGCTGCTGCCCGTGACGTGCCAAGCCCATATGGCCTGGCATAGAGGCTGGTACCCCGCCTGGTAGAGATGCCACACTCGCTCCGCGGTTCGCATGGCGCTCTGAAGACGCCGGCGCCCGCCGCCTTGAGGAGCCGCTGCCCCCGCTCCCTGAAGATGGGGGAACAATGAAATAAGCGAGAAGATTCCTCTTCTCCCCCCTCTCTCTCTTACCCCCTCCCCCCCTCCCCTCCCCTCTCCCCTTGACTCCTCTCCGAGGTAAGTTGTCCGAGAGGGAGCTAGATCTGACCCGCTGATTGGGAGGGGGGAGGGCGGCTGCTTCGGCGGACAGGAGAGTCCCCAAATCCCCCCTTCCTGGGATGGTACCCCCTCATCGGGTGGGCATCGGAGGCGCCTCCGGTTCTTTCTCCCCTAGGGGCTGCAGCTCAGGGGGCTGCGGAGGGAAGCGTTTCTGTCTGCGATGGGCTTGGTGGGGGTAAAGGCAGGATCATGGGAGGCACGAAAAGGCCGAGTTGAGGAGCCCCCCCCCCCGTGGTTGTCCCAAAGGAACCTACGACCTTTCCCCACCACCCCCCCAAAAAAGAAGCAAACAAACAAATTTGGATTTTTTCCCATCAATCCCGAAATACAACGAGATCTGGAGAGCTGTGTGGGAGGGAGGCGGTTTGAAGGGGGGAAGGGGGTCCCTGACCGCCGGGGAGACGGACGGGGCTCGCTTCTCTGTCTCCTCCCCAAGCCGGGGTTCTTCAGTCCTCGCCGCCCAAAGCCGGCTCCAGGAGCTGGGGACACTACGGCTAGAGGAGACGATCCTCCCGCCTCTGGAATTGGGGCTGCGGGGATGGGGGCCGAGCCGGGGGCGGCGCGCGGCCAACTTGCAAATTGGATTAGGGAGCGTGGGGGTGAGAGCCACTGGAGGGGTGGGGAGCCAGGCCTGGGGCCCCCGGCCGCCGGTCGGAGGAGAGGGGCAGCTGTCTCCACCCGCGGCCGCCCAACCACTGTCCACTGCCAAGAGAGAACAGGCTTTCTGGGCGAGTGCACCCGCCTCCCCTGGAGAAGATATTTGGTCCCTTAAGTCCCTACCGGGTCCCCCTCTCCGACCCTGAGAAGAACCCGGCACGGGGAACTGCCCCCCATTCAAGAGAGGGGCGGAGCCGGGGCCCAGTGCTGGGAAGAGGGCCTGGGCCGAGATCCCCGGCCCGCCACCCGGCAGGGCTGGGCCGGCTCTGGGCGGGGCAGGTGGAGGAAGTGGCATCCAGGGCTCTCTGGGCAAGAACCCGCAGGAGACTTGGGGGTGGAGGCGGTTGGGGGGCCGTCGTGACCCTAGCGCGTCCCTCACTCTGTGCTGTCTGTCTCCCCTTCCCGGCCCCCCCACCCGGGCGCCCTCAGGCACCATGCTGACCCGCCTGTTCAGCGAGCCCGGCCTCCTCTCGGACGTGCCCAAATTCGCCAGCTGGGGCGACGGCGACGACGACGAGCCGAGGAGCGACAAGGGCGACGCGCCCCCGCAGCCGCCGCCTGCGCCCGGACCGGGGGCTCCTGGGCCCGCCCGGGCCGCCAAACCAGTCCCCCTGCGTGGAGAAGAGGTACCAGAGGCCACGTTGGCGGAGGTCAAGGAGGAAGGCGAGCTGGGGGGCGAGGAGGAGGAGGAAGAGGAGGAGGAAGAAGGACTGGACGAGGCAGAGGGCGAACGGCCCAAGAAGCGAGGTCCCAAGAAACGCAAGATGACCAAGGCGCGCCTGGAGCGCTCCAAGCTGCGGCGGCAGAAGGCGAACGCGCGGGAGCGCAACCGCATGCACGACCTGAACGCAGCGCTGGACAACCTGCGGAAGGTGGTGCCCTGCTACTCCAAGACGCAAAAGCTGTCCAAGATCGAGACGCTGCGCCTAGCCAAGAACTACATCTGGGCGCTCTCGGAGATCCTGCGCTCCGGAAAGCGGCCCGATCTGGTGTCCTACGTGCAGACTCTGTGCAAGGGTCTGTCGCAGCCCACCACCAATCTGGTGGCTGGCTGCCTGCAGCTCAACTCCCGCAACTTCCTCACCGAGCAGGGCGCCGACGGCACGGGCCGCTTCCACGGCTCGGGCGGCCCATTCGCCATGCACCCCTACCCTTACCCGTGCTCGCGCCTGGCGGGCGCACAGTGCCAGGCAGCCGGCGGCCTGGGCGGCGGCGCGGCGCACGCCCTGCGGACCCACGGCTACTGCGCCGCCTACGAGACGCTGTATGCAGCGGCCGGAGGTGGTGGCGCGAGCCCGGACTACAACAGCTCCGAATACGAGGGCCCTCTCAGTCCCCCGCTGTGTCTCAATGGCAACTTCTCACTCAAGCAGGACTCGTCGCCCGACCACGAGAAGAGCTACCACTACTCTATGCACTACTCGGCGCTGCCCGGCTCTCGGCCCACCGGCCACGGGCTGGTCTTCGGCTCGTCGGCTGTGCGCGGGGGCGTACACTCGGAGAATCTCTTGTCTTACGATATGCACCTTCACCACGACCGGGGCCCCATGTATGAGGAGCTCAATGCGTTTTTCCATAACTGAGACCTCGCGCCAGTCCTTTTCTTTTTCTTTTGCCTTTGCCCGTCCCCCTGCCCCAGCCCCCCTCCGATCGCAGGGGCACCCTCACCCACCCCGGCGGCGCCGGGTGCAGGGAGCGAGCCGCCGGTCCTGCTGCTCTTCTGGGCAGAGCCGTCTCTTGCCTATAGGTGGCCCGTCCCAGGGGCCTCTCTTTCCCCAGGGGACTCGCCTTCTCTCTCCCCAAAGGGTTCCCTCCCTCTCTCTCCTAGGGAGTGCTTCTCCAGGGACCACTCTCCGGGTCCTCCCTGGAGATCCCCCAACTCCCAATAACTTCACTTGCGTTTTCTCCTCCCCCTCCTCCCTGCAGGCCCAAAGGAGTCGGTCAGGGGGCAGCTGAGCTGTGGGACGCGGTTTTCCCCTGTCATCATTATTATTTTAAAAACAGACACCAAGCTGCGGGGCCCGAAAGGAGCTGGGCGCCCCCTCTTCCTTGAAGAGGGCAGAAGTCAGAGCGCCTTCACCTCCAACCCCGAATCTCCGCGTTTTGTAATTTTAATTTTGGCGGGAGGGGATGTGGATTGAGAGGAAAGAAAGAGGCCAAGACAATTTGTAACTAGAATCCAGTTTTCCCTTTTCCTTTTTTTTAAACACAAACATAAAAAAAATTAAAAAAAAAAAAAAAAAAGGCGACGGAGGCCGAACGCAGAGTCCGGATCGGAGAAAAAAAAAGCAGTAAGAACTTTTAGAAGCAATAAAAGGCAAAAAAAAAAAAAAAAATACTACTACCAATAATAAAAAGACACAAATATCTATGCAAGGAGGTTCTGACTGAGCCTAGCGGCCCGGCCCGGTCCCGGGATGCCCCTCCCTGTCGGTTGGCCGCCCCGCCCAAGCGCGGATCTGTGCACTTTGGTGAAATGGGGGCCCGCGCCGCCCCCTCTCCCTCCCCAGGTTCTTACAATCAGTGACTCGGAGATTTGGGGCCCCAGTGCCACTGCCCTCCCCCGCCCCGTCCCCTATGTGCGTCATACTGTTTTTTAAAACCTGTTTCCAAATTTGTATGGAATGGCAAACTGTTGGGGGGTCGGTTTGGGGAGGGAGGGTTTGCATGAGAGACACACACACGCACATCACACCGCACGCACACGCAGGCCCAGCGCGGGCGTCGGGGGACCCTAGGAGGTGAGCTGGTTGGCTCCTCCTCCCCGCAGGCACTTCCGTCCGCTCTGGGGGTTAGGCAGAGGGGACGGAGACCTGGGGGTAGCTTCCCGCCTGCCCCAACTGTGCCTCTGTGGGCGCCAGGCGCCCGGTGATATCCGGTGGCTGGAGAGGGTTTTTTGTTTTGTTTTGTTTTGTTTTGTTTTGTTTGTCCTAGGCGTCCTCCTGGCTTTTGCAGGCGGGTGGGCGGGGAGGTTTGAGGGCTCCTACTTGGAGGTTTCCCCCAAAAGGGGCAAAAGATGAACCTCTCCCCACCAGAAGCAGGGGATCAGGCATCCAAACACACGATGCAAAAATGCAAACCCACAGGCGACACACCCACACACTCACCCACACACTTACACGCAATTTTACCTTCCTCTTGTAGCGAAGATGAAATTTCCCGTCGGACACCCGAAGTGCATTGCGTGTTTCTGTTCAGTTTAATGACGATTAATAAATATTTATGTAAATGAGATGCAAAGATGGACCCGGTTTCTCACGGTAGCCTCCTTTTATGGGGAGAGAGGAATTTGAACTGAGGCTGGGATGACGGAGGCAGTGTCAAGTGACTATGCAGAAACCAGAGAGAGGCACCCTGGATGTTTCTGGGTGGAATTTCCACCCTACAAGCCCCACACATACATTTAATGAGCACAGAAACAGCTATTCTGGCTGCCCCTCTCAGACCCGACCCAGACTTACTGAGGCCCCAGCACCAAACACCGGTCCCATCTGATTATACTTTTTAGTCCCAGAATACCCACACGTGCCCCTTGGAAAGAGAGAAAGAGAGGGAAAACATTTTTTTTTTCATTACTGAAAAATGATCAAGATAGGAAACGAAACACCGATTATTTTACAATCCTCCGATCACTGTTGTAAAAAGAAGTGGGTACAGATAAGGGGAATCATTTGAGCACTTCAGCGATACTTTTAAGTTAAAAAATTATAAGGTCATGAGGATAAAATTTTAATGAGGAAATCCCTTTTCCATCTTAAATGTGTGTTTCAGTGGATTCAGAGGAATCTACTATTTTGGCTTCAGGAAGGTTGACATTTTGAGGGGGGCAGTAAACTGGAGGGACATTCCAGAGGTCTATGAGGTGACTGAGTCTGGGAGGCCACCTGGCATAGTGGAACTTCACTTCACCATGAACTCACTGGAACAGGGCAGTAGAACTCTTTCTCTCTCACATCTGAGCAGGCTCCTTCCTCCAGTTTTAGTTCTGGACAGTTCTCAATGGGTTGAGGGGTAGATGAAAGGCACAGGGAACACCCTCTCCTACTCAGACAAGGTGGCCTCCAGCTTTATTTCTTTGAGCCTCATATGCACAGGCACCTCTGCACCAACTTCCCTGAAAGAATCTTTCCCCTTCCTTTTCCCCTTAAACTCCAATGCATACCAGAGCCCTGAAATATTCAGAGAGGAATCTGAGTCCCTCATACACCCATCCCGAAGCCAGAGTATACTTAGTAGTCCCTTGAAGGGGCTATTTTATTTTTCCAAAAACACTGTCATTCTTTCTTAGGGCTGAAATAAGGTTGTAATGTTGAGGATTGAGTTCAGTTATGCTAAGGCTTTTAAGGGTTAGGTCCCAAAATGAGATCTCCTTGACAGAGCAGGAGAGGGAAAGGTAGATGAAGAAGAAAGCCTTAATGCCAAAGGGTGGGTCTGAACTGGGGCTTAGAGGCTCCCCTAAATGTCTATCCCCAACCTCTTAGTTTTTGGAGGAGAGATGATGCCTTTCTGGTGTCTCAAGGCGGCTGCCCAGGAAGCAAGAGGGGGGCCAGGAACTGTCCAGTTTAGAGTGCTGACCCTTGTCTAGATCTCTCTGGGCTTCAGTGCCTGGCCCTGGGGAGCCTCACTGCATGTGGCCCTTCCCAATCCTGGACCAGAATTCCGCAACGCCCCCCCCCCACCCATTTTCAGAGATTTTTCAAGAAATAATTTCAAAATTTCATCATCTTCCCTGGAATTATCTCTGGACCAACTCTCCAAAGTGAGATTGCTGATTAGGCCTTTGTCACCAGGTTTGTTCCCATTGATGGCTAATGGAATCTTTCAGACCTCTGGATCACCCCCATTCTTGGTAGAAAGGAGTTGGCCCATCTTCCTTCTCCTCCACTTGTAGTGAGGTGGGTGGAGCAAGATGCACATCCTAGACCCTAACTTGAGGAACTCTGGTCTGCACATGAAATGGGGCATGGCCTGGCAGGGGCAATTAGAGAGAAAATGAACTCGGCACACATCCCGAGGCCTGATTCTTATCTTGCTCTGGAAACAATGTTAATTGGGCTTCTCTCTCACTCAGCTGGTTTCCCAGAACTCACTCTGAACTCTGGGGCTGGGCAGGATCCAGGTGGCTTGGGGCTGGAAGCAAAGAATCCCTCCACGTGGTTCACCTGGCCAGACCACAGACTTCTTCATATCACATCATCCTTCTAGCTATCCCACTGCTGCTCACTGCTGATTTTGAAGCCAAATTCCAGCCCCTTCAGAAGGATGTTGATGACTCCTGGGTAGGGGTACAGGGGCCCCTTTTGTGGCAGAGATCCTGAGTTCCTCACTTCTAGTGAATCTGTTGTCCACACCAGCTGCCCCTTTCTTGATTCCTGACCCTTCCCCCCACACTCCTTGCACTCTAGCTGAGCGCCATCCTCCCATCACCCCCCTCCCCAACACTTAACTTCCCTGGTGAGATGGCGAGATGAGCAGGAGAAGAAGATGTGCACGGACACACGGCCCCAAATGCCCCCTTGCATATCTCTTTCTCTTGCTAGCCCTCCCGCTTGCCCGCACACACCCAGAGAAGCTCCAAGAACAGAAGGAGGGGGGAGGTGGAAAGGGGTTTGCATGGGGGGGGACAGGAGAAAAAATGCACAGGGAGGATGCCCTTCTTGCCCTAGTCTGAGCAGCAGGATCTCCAAGCACTCACCATCCAGCTAAGCTCAACCCCTATGACCCCATGGCTGAGCCAGGTTCAATCAGGGGGTATTTTCCCCTTGATTTTCCAGTCCCAACCCATGTCCAGTGTTTGGAAAATGACAGAGAGACAGATATCTCTGAGTCCAAGCCATTTGCCTATCTGGCAGGAAAAGGAAGGAAAGTCATTGCAGTCTCTTCCCTCACCGTTTAATTCCATTCCAGCCAGGACCAGGACAGTGAGCCCTTGTTTACACAGTGAAACTCTGATCTGATTTCATCACCCACAGGAACAACCTGCTAAAACACTGGGAGTAGCCGAGCCCTAAGAAGGTCAGCAACAGGGAAGCCCTGATTCGCCAGGTACTTCACCAGGTTGTGCTTACTTCTATTTTTCCCTTTCATAAGTAAATCCACAACCAGTAGATTTGGGATTTGGGGGCAGAAGTCAGATATTTCGTTCTCTTTTGCACAACCTTTGCTTCTTCTACTTCCCCAGCATCTTTAACAGGAAGTCACCTGCTCCCGGGGGATTCCATTGATTTCAGGGGACATTGTGACTAAGGATGATTGTAGATTCCACAGTTTAGTTCTGAAGGAAGATAGAAAGAGGCAGCACAGATCCACTCTTGTCCTTGACCTCCACACACAAGCTTCCATGTGACAATAGAAGAGCAGCCCAATACTTCACTCTGATCTGCTCCAATGTGCCCAAAGGAGAAAGCTGCTTGTTTAGGGGAAATGGGAGGGGACAGATGAATCTCTACTGTCTGAACAGGCTTCCCAGCTCACAGCCCAGACACTAATTGTTACTCCCTTCAGGGGGCTTGGGCACCCAGGTGCCCACAGTAGGACCATAGTAGAGGTGACAACTGAATTATGAGAAACCTTAAAACCCTGCCCTGGTTCCAAATCCTAAAGTGGCTTCTGCCTTTCTGTCCTATATCTTTTTTAAAAATTTCATCACAAAGTTTTCCTAGTGAGAAGTAGTAACAATGTATGCAGCCACCTTGGAGCCTTGGAAGGGCTATTCTGCTCTTGAAACTTTCTCCACCTAATGCACCGCGGTAGGAACGATGGCCCTGGAAGCATAGGTAGGAGAAGGAGGCCAATCCAGGGCGCCCTTCACCAGCAGGAAGGCATGGGGAATTTGCAGAGGAGATGCCAGAGTTGGGTTATCTTAGCCCCCTAGTTCTGGGAGAAGAAGATAAGTTGCTTTGAAGGGAAGGAACACGGTATCCTTAGTTGCCAACCTGGCCAAGGGAGCTGGGGCACAGCACTGAGTAGAGAATGCCCAGATGTGCACCCAGGTATGGTCTGGTGTTGCCAACTCTCTTGTAAGCTCCAACTCAGGAGCGCAATGCGGACTCCTCGGGCTGATTCGGGCTGTCGAGTTCCACACTCGGAGTGCCTGGTTTCGGTTATTCCTTCCTTTCCTTTCTCTCTCTCCCTCCCCCCACCCCCAGCCCGCCCCATTCCTCTTTTTGGAATTAATTGAATTAGGGACGGGTCTTTCTGGGGCTCT